TATTTTCAAAAATAGAAATTTATTTTTGTAATTATGGTATATTAAAAACAAGATAAATAACAAAATCAAAAGTATAATATTTTTTATGCAAAATCATTTGATTTTAGTTAACTACTTTATAATAATTTTTATAAAAATATATATATTTTGAATATATAAACAATTGTATGAATTATATGAAATTTCGTATTTTGTTTAAGTATTTTGTTAAAATTAGTTTTAATTCTAACTTCTATGTTGCAATTTTATTTTGCATTGAATCGATAAAATTGAAAATGACATGATAAAATGATAAAAGAATTCTAAATCATAAAATAAAAATATTATTGCATTATATATTATATTTTATATCTTATTTATATATAACTCATTTAATAAAATAATTTAAATAAAATATGATACAATGGCATATCATATCAATATTTATATTATTATACTTATTATATTCTTATCGTAATATTAAGAATATATAGTAATATTACATTATAACTATATATTAACTATATAGTAATATTTTATTACTATATTAGTTTCAATTGTAACCAGTCGCAGCGTGACAGTCAATTTTCACATGTTCAACGATAATTAATACAAATTAAATATAAAAATAAATCGATTGATCATGTATATTTTCGTATTTTATGGAATTCTAGTGTTTCATTTTTGTGTCGATTACATCATTATCAATAAAACACAGAATTTGATTGTGATGAAATTTTAGGCAAAATTATAAATAGCGAATCAAATAATATAATTTTTATAAAAATATAATACATATTTTAAAATGTAATAAAAATATGAAATAATCAATTATTTAAAATTATCTGGTAAAATAATAGTAAGAAAAAGAAATTAATGAAATTTTTTAGTTTTTTTTAAATAATAATTATTATTGATGGTAATTATTTGAATAGAAAATTTTTTCAATATAATAATGTTGCAATATATTGCAAAAATGAACAATTTTTTCTTTATCGCCTTACCTGTCATTTAGTTTCAAGATTTGCAAAGAAAGATTATTGTAAAATTTCTTTTATAAGCGACTACAAATGTTTGAATAAGAGATGTTATTAATATATTTATTATTATATGCTATATTATGCTATTAGATATTACTATTATGATTAAATATTATGCCTTTAGATATTACTAACATTACTATGTTCACTGTAATAATTATCATCGTTGAATGTTAAATTAAGTCGATGGGAAACAGAAATTTTTTTTAAATTTTATATATAATACTTAATATAAAATCATTTTTATTTAACAATATTTGCCATATCTTTACATGTTTTTATTTTCATATTTGTTTTTTTTCTATTTTCTTTTCTACTTGATTCTATCTCTTTAAAAATATCAATTTATCTAGAAATAATTAAATTAATTAAATTTATATAAGTAATGGCATTTGATAACTCAAATATTTTTAATTTTTTAAGAACGAATTTAAAAAGTGAAAAATATAAAGAAAATTATATTATATAATAGAATATATAATATATTATATAAAGAAAATTATCGAGCGCGGAAATAAGATAGAAAAATGTCTACGAAACAAATTTTTTTATTGGAAATATTCTCATGATAGTGAATTCTGATTAATATCTCTTTTCGAATAGTTCTAATTTTTCTTTTTTTTAATATATTTTTGAAATTTCATTATTTGTAAAGAAGAATCTGGAAAGAAGAAACGAAATAATTGATACTATTCCTGATATTTGGATTTTTTGTGATATTGAATGCTATTTTATACAAATAATTTTTGTTTTCATATATTTCATTTAATTCGATAACAATAACTACTATAGCGAAAATACTTGTGTTAATAATACCTAGATAAACATATTTATTTAATATATTATTAACATTTAAATACACACAATTAACAATAAATAAATAAATTTTCAATTTATAATATTAAAATTTATTATTTTTATATTAGAGCGTTTTAGAATATTATTATATCACATGTATTTATTCAGTTATTCACTATTAAAACACAATTCTTGCTTCGGTGAAGAAAATATGAAATATAACATGAAATAAAAAATATTTGCATCCTTGACCATAATTTCTTAATATCAGAAAACAAAATTTTTGTTTTGTTGAATATTATCATAGAGATATTTTGCAAAACAATATCGTTTTCGTAATATATGATTTACAACATAAAATCATTTATGTTAACTTCGTATCAGAGAACGAAATCTTTATCTCATTGAATGTTATTTATTGTTTTAATCGAGATATTTCACATTTTTATAAAAATATATGTAAGATATATATCTAAAGATTCGCATTAAAATAAATGAATTGGCATTAAAATTATAAAAAAATCAGTGCATTTATCAATATAAATTAAATAATAAATATCAAGTAATCTATAAAAAACATTAAGTTATAAGTATTGAAAAATAGAAATGCAAATTATTTCATAAAAAAACATTATATGAATATAAATTGTGAAATATTTTGATTAAAACTGGCGAAAATAGAAATAAATATTTTTATTGTTCCGATACATGATTTTGGATAAATTTTTTAAATAAAGAAATAATATTTTATATACGCTACATTTTAATATCAACTCATACATATTTCTAATAAACTGTTTTTAATTTTAACATTTTATAATATAATATAATATAATGTATTAAAGTCATATTTATTGTTTATAATATTGTTTATAGAGTTTAAGAGTTCAATCTAGACATATGAAACATAAGATTAATATATTTATTTGACTAATTATTAATAATTAAACATAGGATTTTTAATTTTTTTATTGAAATTTGTATCTTTCGATAATATTTTATAAATAGTAAACAATATTTGCCTATAATTTAGCAAAAAACAAAAAAAATATTTTCAAAATAGTAATTTGATTTAAGCATGAAATAGTCAAACTTTCAAATATTTATTTATGAAAATATTTCAATTTTTAATATTTTGTCTCAAAATACTAAAATATTTTTAAATTTTACTAAAATAATACTAAAAATTTTTAAATTTTTTCCAAAGTTAGTCTAAATTCATGAACAAAATATCTAAAACATATTATTCTATTGATAACATTAATTCTATCGATTTGAAATCTAAACTATATAATTGTATAACTGTAATTATTTATGCACACTATTAACATTAGATTATTATTCTAAAGATTTCAATAATTTAATTTTTAATTACTATTTTTCATCTCTTTTCTTAGATGAATAAATTAGAAATATTTATTTATAATTTATTTAAAAAGTTAGATTATTTTTCTTTTTTTGTTTTAAATCAAAATTCTACTTATATATTTTTTAGAAATTCTTAGAAATATTAAATATTAGATTAAAATAAAATTTGTTTCATTTAAAAATTAGTTTTCGAGAAAATTGAATTTAATTAATTTATCGATACGATTTTTTATGCTATTTAATTTTGATTTTTTTAAAAACAAAAATTTAAGTGATAAAATTTTATTTTATATTTTTTGCTTATTTTCACATGTAAAATAATTTGCTATCGATAGTTTATTCGATATTTATTCAATAATTTATTCAATTATTCAATTAAATTTTATTTATTATCAAAAATTTTTATTACATTAAAAAAATTTTTTAATTTTATTTATTCGAAAACGAAATCTAAATAAATTTCATTCTATTTTTTTAACTTAAAAAAAATAACTCATTTTACCATTAATTATATTACTAATAATAGAACATACTATATGCATTCATACATTTGCATAACATAGATATCACTTCTGAATTTAAACTTAAGAAATCTATGAGATGTTTTTAATTTAAAAAATTGTATAATAAATAAAAAAATTCTTGTTAGTTAAATAATTTCAAACTTAATGAAAAATTATAATTAAATAATATCAATCAAATTTGATAAACATACCTAATTTCTCATCGATATTCGGAAGACTCTCTGACGTGCTCGCTTGATTGTAACATAAAATATTCATACTGTCAATATTTTTTCTTATTGGTTCAAATTCATCTTTTTCAATGAAATCGTCATTTAAAAATATTATATTTTTTATTACCAGGACAAATATGATGACACAGAGAAAATATAAAAACAATTTCTTCTTCATTTTCTTTCGATATCTATTGATTCTAATTGTTATATTACTTATAGTTGTATCAACGTTTAAATATTAATCTTTTTAAAAATTTTTCAAATTTTTTTTCAAATATTCTTTTATATTTTTGCTAGATACAATACTATATAAAAAAAAACTTCTTATTTTTTTATTATTTCGAATATTCATTAAATTAAAATTGTGCTTTTTTATGTTATCTTTGTAACTGTTTTTTTTTATTTACATTATATATATTATAATTTATAATTTTATTAGTGCTTTAATCAAGTTCCATATTATAGTCGAGTGTTCATTTGACTATTCCTTTACAATGTATAGTTTTTTTTATATGAATATTGATTATTTCCATACAAAACTTTATTAAAATAAGAACTGAGCTATAAATAGTTCACTTTTTATTTCACTTTATTACTTTCACTTTATTATTGTTGTTAATAGTTTATAAAGCCAATGTCGGAATTGATAAATTGCTTTCAGAAGTACAAATATCAATGTAGAGTAAAGATAAAATGTTTTAATCTTTGTATGTATTTTGATAAATAACAATATTTTTATTGGAATCTAGATATATAGATAGATATGAAAATAAATATTAAGATATTGATAATTGTAATATTGATAACAAATTGCAAAATAATTACAAGTTTAAATTAATTTACTAATTTCGATTTTCTGGAAAATATATTTGATATTGAATATTTGAAGTTTATCAAAAGATTTCAGTGTTTCAAAATTTTCAATAATAAAAAATTATAATAAGAATTGAATTTTTTTCATAAGTTATAATTTTTTTGTCATAATTTTTATTTATGTTGAATACAATTGTTTTTTTTATCATAATGAATTTCAATATCAAATTTTTTTTTTTTTTTACAACTTTGACTTAAAATAATAGATAATATATCAATAAGATGACTATCACAATAAGATGAACTTAAATTTTTTAAGTCAAGCTTTGATGTATATCTTCAATACAAGTATAAATGATAAAATTTAATCATTTCATCTACAATAAAACAATAAAGTTATAAAGTTTAAATTTACTTAAATTTTCGAAATCAATTGCGAATTACGAATTGTATTGATTATAAACCAATTGAATTATAAAATTAATAGTAAGTTTTATCTAATATTTGAATGTAATATATGTATGTAATATACATACGTAAATTAAATCATAAAATTTTATTTTAACTGATATGAAGATGAACTTTTATAAAATTTATTTATAATGTATATTTACTATTAAATCTTACTATTTAATCTCTTAAGATTAATGATAATAAATAATCATAATCTATAAAATTCCTAATACATATTTGGATATTAATTGAAGATGAAAATAGAAGTTTTAATGTAAAAAATATTTTTTAATAGTAACAATTTAGAAAGATAATTTTATGAATAGAATTCTTACAGATAGAAATTGTTATATATTTTTACATTTTAATAGAAATTATTAGTTATCATTAGTATCAATAGTTTAAAAAAATTCATGCATAAGATATACATTTTTAATTTGCATTTCTAAAGAAAATAAAATTCAATACATCTATTGCATTTGAATGCAATTTATTTATTGATGCATGAAATTCGCGTAATTTTAAGATATTATTAAAGATTTGTGAATAAAAACACTAATATATTGTGTTCTAAAATAAAAAACATTTAATTATTATAATACATATTATAATACATTTAAAATTTTATAAAATTATTTCTAATTATTAATATTATTTATGTTGTGCTTTGAGTATTCGCAATGGTTCAATTTTTTTTGTTACCTAAAAATAGATAATAGACACTCTTTCATTTGGCATAACTAATGATGAATTCAACTCTAATTGGTTTTTTACGGAATACACTATTGCTAACGATTGTGGAATTTAAAATAAGATCAAAATTCGGAAATGTCGATTGAACTCAAAGAATCTTTATAAGAAAGTGTTTTATTCTAAACTTTTTTTACAAGTATAAGTATTTTAAGTGTATGCATATAATTGTCTTAATAAAAACTGTTTTTCGAAAAATTGTCTTCCTCTAATTATCAATCAATCTTTTTTAATCTTTCATCTGTTAGGTGGAGATTTTGAAAATAAACAATTTTCAAATGAAGAATTCTGCACACTTCTTATGTTTTTCATTATTCTAGAATTTTATTATGATTTATAATATCCTAGATATATACATATCTCAATTGCGCTGTTACAGAATAATATTTTTACACATTGATTTTCAAATACTACACTTAATATACTTTTAATTTTGTAAAATATTTAAAATATAAAATAGATTTTGTCGATATGATGGAAATAGAATTATTTTGTTATATCTAAAACACAAAATCTAAAAATACAAATATTTATATTGTTCATTTCTCTTTCAAAGAAATAATTTAAAAAAAATATTTGAACAATTTTAAACTTATTATTATATCATCATAACAGAAAAATCATAAAATATTAAGGAAAATTATGAGAAAGACATAGATATGAAAATATAATATAAACTCAAGCGATGAATTTAAACTAATAATTTACAAAATTGAAAATGATAAAATAATATTTCATATGTAAATTATTAATTTAAACCCATCATTTGAATCAATACATACATCGCAGTATAATATGTTTCAGCAAATATAGATTGTTTAAAATATAAAATAAATATTTAACAATTTGGAAATACATAGAAATACATGAGTGTTCCATTTAAGTTGATTTATTGAAATTTCTATCAAACTATTGATAATACAAAAAAATGTTTCAAATAAAAATTTAATAATTTCAGAGGACATACAATTTGACATAATTAATTTTTTTATTACTACATATAGTATTCGTGCGCGCAATAATAGTATTATACTAATTTAGTGGATATAAGCTAATAATTGTAACAAGTATATTTCTTAGTTGTAGATATAAGTTACTCGTATATATAAGTTACTCGTGCGGAGCGTTTGTCTATTAGAGAACAAGATTTCTCATAATGTCGCGGCATGTAATCGTATCTGGTCAGAGCACGATGTGTTCACAAATTAATTGTATCCGGCGATTAGACTACGATGTGATCATTATGAAACTTTATTTGAAAGTGACGATAAATAATCGTATCATGGAAAATATAACATGGAAAAAATTTTTTTCTAGTTTAATTGGAAGAGTCACAGTTTTCTGGTGAAATATGTCAATAACTAATAGTCAGTGCCTGATTCGCGACATTCTCAAATTCAAAGAAAATTCTTCGCTTGGATAATAATCTGTATACAAAAATCCCAGGACAAGGGGGAGTAGGTAAGCACATCCCTCTCACAGACCACTTCGAACCAGAACAATATCCGTTGTTGAGTCAGCCTATGTCTGGAACATGTAATGCTAAGATTGGCTCAATTCGAAATATGACAGAAATATATCACATGTGTCGATCAGATTCTCAAAAACAATTCTCCAGCAAATATCATTCTTTATTCATGTTCAATAGAGGCCTGCTAGCCATAAAAACAGGAAAGAACTTCCATGGGCAACTTTCCCGAACAAATCTTTATAAATTTTGGAAGCAATAAATGCTCGCGAACACGATCAATAATTGAAAAAGTGTTAAACTGACCATAAATTTCAAAAATATTAAAAAAAGAAATATTTTTATAGATATAAAGATATAAAGATATAGATATTTATATTTATTTATTATTATCATAAAGATATCGCAAATTTTTTACTTTTATAGAAGTATTTCTATAGTATCTTTATTGAACTTTATTTCTATAGAAATATAATAAGCTCATTTAATAGAAGATTTGTAAATTGAATGTGAATTGACTTCATTATGACAGATGGTACAGATTCTAACCATCATGTTTGGTCCATTCATCATGATGACCGATGATAAATATATTCATATTAAAATATTTGAAATTAAATAACTTTTAATTTTGAAATAAAAAGATCTATATGCTAAGGATCTAAGAATTATTTATTTTTACTAACAAAGACGACGAGGAGAAAATTATAAATTTTTTATTTTTCTCATATTTCAAAATATTAATAAATATTTAAGGATAATATTTAAGTTTGAATGGTCCTTCCACAATATTATTATTTTATTTAATTAATTAAATTATCCTATGAAGCTTATTCCAAATTAAAAAACACTATTAATTATTAACAATATTATTAATATTATAAAATAATTTAAATATAATTAATAAAAATTATATGAATTTGTTTTAAAAATTTATTACTTTTTTTTCAGAAAATATAACCACAATGTGCAAATAATAATAAATATATATACATATAAAACACATAAAATTTTCAAAAACAGTACATAAGATTTTTATATTTGCACAATAATATTTCATAAATTAGGAACAGGAACACTTTATCCTTATATTTAACTTACTAAGTAATAAGTAAGTGATTGAATTTTATATATTCTTATTGAGTAATTTGAAAACAATTTAAAAAAATAGTTCATTTTTCTTCAACTATTTTAACACCGTTAATGTTTCTATTAGAAAATCAATTATATATATCTTCCAAGTGACATTGTTTTCTTTATAATTGCTACACATTTTTGTTTACAATATTTTATTTAAATTAACATTTTTATTAAAAATTATCTTGAAATTTGATTTAAAATTAAAAAAATTTATTTACAAGGCAGTCAACATGACATATTCAATTATTTATTTGTTTAATATAAATTCTTTTTTAATGATCAAATTTGTTTATATATTATACTACGAACATTCTTTTTTATTTTCATTTCTTATTGCACAATATATATTGTTTTATTATTATCAATTAACATATGCTTGTATTTTTCTTTAAAATTCGACTTTTAAATAAATTTTTGCTAATTTTTCATTTATTTTCTACTTATCATCTCGTTAATAAAATTTAGTTCATATCACAAAAAACATTGTACAAATATATAGAATAGCTTATCTTGATAAAAAGAGATGAATGAACAATAGATTAGAAACATTAATTAAAAATCATAATAAATGAATATTGAGATTTGAAAGCAAAATTGTTATAAAAAAATATACGATAGTGTAAAAATGATATACTTTTCTATTTAATACTGATTATTATCTAATACTGATTAAACTTGAGCAATATAATAAATTTAATAAATTATTGTAAATGAATTCTTAAAAACTTAAAAATTATTTTTTTATTAAAAATAATATTAAACAGAATTGATTAAATAAATTCACTACATTTTATTTATTAAAAAGTAAAGTTAAAATTAAAGTTATAATTATAAATAATATAATTAAAATCTTTTAATTGATTGTTATTATTCTTTATATCTTTATTGCCGATTTTTTTTTATCTATATTTGCCGATTTAAATTTTTCACATTAAATACAAATTATTTATTTTTTCATTTTTAATATGATTTTTTTAATTCAAGAATCTATTAATGCAATTAAAAATTATTGATTTTAGATTATGTTGTATTTGAATTCAACTATAATTCATTATAATATATAATTTCTTTTCATAGTAAATCAATAGATAAAATATCCAATTATATATATTATTTAATTAGGTTCAAACATGAAATTGATGTGCAACAAATATTATTTAAATACATTTAATCATTAAATTCTAATGTATCATAATTTTTAAAATAATAATAATAAAAATAAAATCATAAATTTTAAATATTTATGAATTCGGATATTTAATATATAATATAATAAAATAGTATATATCATTGTGTTAAAACTTAAATAAATAAAATTGAGAGTAAAATTATTGATAAATCTTATAATTCCAAAGTTTATACACTTTGATTATTACTGTAAAAAGTATATTTTCATTCGTAAATATTTGGATTCTTCATCTAATCCTTATCTTTGAACTGATATAGTACACATATATGTAAAAAATAATAATCGTAAAAAATATCTTCTTTTAAAGTTGAACTCTTTTTTTATATCCCTAAGTTATTATCCATCCATTTTGAATAAAAAGCGTGTTATTGAAGTACAAGCATGAAATATAATTCAATACTAGCAAAGAATTTAACATATTATTCAATACAGAATAATATGACGAGAAAAAATGGTATACGAATATCTTTTAAGAGAAGTTGTTGTAAAGAAAATTTTTTAAATTCATAATGGTTTTAATTGTGTACAATACAAATTTTTTTAATATTTACTGACCAATTCTTTCAATTTTCTTTGAAAAGATTATTTTCACTTTTTTACTTACTTGCTATTGTGAAATGGTTTTCAAGACAATTTAATTTCTGAACATAAGTAGAAGATGCAATCTTTAAAATAATCTTACAAATTATTTGACGAAGTTATAACAGTTCATGGATTGATAATTCAATGAAATATCCAAATACTTATGAATAAATGTATATACTGCAAACTTCAAAGTTTCTTTATAAGCAACATGATTTTAAATAAATACTTGATAAAATTTCTTTAAATGTTATACATCCTCAACAATTCTTTATAATTCTCAAATAACATTATAGTTGCACTAACAATAAATATTTTGGTGAAGTCCTCAATTTAAAAACTATAACTATATCATATATCTATCTTACATTTATATCATATATACATAATATATAATCATAAATATATAACGTATATACATATATTGTAACGTATATACATGTATTGTATTTGTTTGCAATTCTTTTTTTTTTTTTTTTCACTAAATTTGGTCTTCAATAT